GGGGGGGGGGGAATAATCAGCTGGCACAGCCATTTCTGTTTATATATTCTTTTTTATTGGTTTGGTGCTCCATTTATGTTTTTAAAGGGCAACCCAGCAAGGTAAGAAGGAACAAATTCAATACAGGTGTAACTTTATTGTCCCTGCCAAGCAGACACAAATACCCCACCTGGGACCTCCTGCACTGACATAGTAGGGTCAGAGAAGGAGGTCCCAGGCGGGAATTTTGTCTGCTTCTCTGGAACAATAAAGTTACACCTTTTAATGAAGTACCGCCAGCCTTTTCTCCTTTGGTTCTAAAGGTGGTTGGGGCCCCTGCTCAGCTTCTGGCACCCGGTGTAATGAGCCTGTGAGCGGGAAACTTCTTTTTTTTTCAGCTTGTCTTTCATGTCCCTGTATTGTCTCCGGTCTCTGTGCAGGAACACATCGCACTTCTGCTCCTTCATGTGAATCTCCTGACAAGCAGAGAGGATGGTGGTGGAGGTGGAGGGCTTCTACGGCGTCTATCTCTTACATTGCACCAACCCAAAATACAAAGGACGCATCTACATCGGCTTCACGGTGAACCCCGAGAGGCGCATTCAGCAACACAATGGGGGGAAGCACAAAGGCGGAGCCTGGAAGACAAGTGGGAGGGGGCCCTGGTAAGAAGGACAAGCCATCACCTGATAGGTCACTAGACTCCTGGGTTTAGGGCGGGGGAGGAGAATTCTGAGGCTTAAATAGACTCTGCCTAAGATATAAAGTGCAGGTGGCGGTGTTCTATCGAAAGCTCCAACTCGTCGAAATCTCCAACTACCTCACTGCCGGGTACTTGCGAGTTGGAGATTTCGACCAGGCGGCGTTAGGACTCCAAAACACAAAGACTGACGGAGCTTCTGTACGGCTGCATTTCAACAATATTCAGCAGGTGGCAAACTCGACGAGTATTGTGAAAACGCTCTGCGCGCATGCGCACCGCAACTGTACAGAGCTCCAGTCTTTCTGAGCACCGGAAGTGAGGTAGTTGGAGATCTCGATAGAACAGCGGCACACCTACCTATTCTTATGCACTCCCGCTACAGCCGCATATAACAGGCAAAGCTCCGGCAATTCCTTGTATTGATAAAGCTTTCCAACCTCATCACACACATTCCTATTGACCAAGGAGGCAGCTTATTAGAGGTATGGGTTAATAA